TGTGTGTATGTATGTGTGTGTATGTGTGTGTATGTGTGTATGTGTGTATGTGTGTATGTGTATGTGTATGTGTATGTGTATATGTATACGTATACGTATACGTACACGAACACGTATACGTATATGTATACATATACATATATATATCTCAAAACGTAAACTGCAGAGGGACGAATAGAAGTGCTCAGTGTTCTACCTGACCACGTGGCTACTTGCACCCTTTGAAGTAGGACTTCCCAGTCCTGGGCACTTCAATTAATCTTTGAGGTTAGGAGTGGGGCACACTGGGTGCTGGCTGGTAGCACAAAAGGCTTGAAATGGGGTGAAGCGTTAATCTCCCTGGAAGCTGGCCTGGTTAACCTCCATCAGCTCCAGAAGCCCACACGCTGGGAAACAAACAGGGTGAGTTTTCTTCCCAGAGAGATTTTTTTGAGTATAAATATAGCCCACTGCTTCTATGCAATTAATGCAGACAGTCCTCTGGTTGATGTTGCTTTTTAATGATTCAAATAAGAATGCCAAGAAATGCATGCTTAGTGCTCCTGCCCTAAGGGTAAATGACAGTTGGTCCTTTTAGGGACGGGAATGAGAACATTTTTTTTTTCAGTTTGCACTGTGATAAAAATTGCACATTGCATTCTCCAATCCCATGTTCGTTAAGCCAAAGGGCAAAACATATAGGGAAAATGAATTATTTTTAATATCAAAAATATAATTGTGATCCTTAAATCATTTTTTTTTTCAGTAGTTAGTGCAATTCTCACTTATGACTTGCAGATGCTAATGAGAAGGATCCACTGAAGGGGGCATAGGGCCCTACCAGCTTCTGCCTCCTCGGGCCCATCATAAGATTTGTCAATGGCCGCTCTGAAGCTCTCGTTGCAGCCCCGGCCTCGCACCATGTGTGGTCTGGGCCTGTGGAAGGGCAGATCACTCTTCCTGACTTCGGCCACCGCTGTCTGCAGGCTCTCCAAGGAACTGGACTTTTTCAAACCCAGAGTTGGACCAAAATCTTTGCTTGGAGGGTCTGGAAGAAAAGGGGTGAAAGGTCAGCCCTCCAGCACTGCACTCCAGTGGAAATACATGCTATTCTAAGACTGTTTCTTCCCAGGAAGCTTCGAAAAGAGGGTGTTAGATTAGTAAACCTTGGTGGCTAAACTCCAGTTTGGCCATTAGTTTTGGTCATCTTGGGGAAAGGGAATGGATTGACATCTCTGAACCTCAGTTTCTTTTCATACAGCTGTGGTAAGCGTTTAGATGACATTATTCAAATCTGTTTAACACATGGAATTTTATATGCATATATATACACATAGGTATGCATACATTTGAATGTGAAAAGTTACTATCTACAGATAACATGTTTGAGAATATATACACCCATGTGCACACATATGGACAGAGAGGCAGACAAACTCTATATAGACCAGAATGGCCTTGAACTCACAGAGATTTGCCTGCTTCTGCCTCTGGAGTCGCGAGGACACAGGCGCTTGTCACCACTCCCAGCCAGAGGCACATAAGCTCACAATGAACCTAGCACGGTAAGTGTTCCCTCCGTGAGCTCAGCCTTGCCTTCTCAACCTCTGTACCTGGAATTACTGCCAGACTTGTTTATGTGATTGGCCTAGAAATCAAGGACCAGGAGTGGTAAGGATTTTCATAATTAAATTCTTTACATTATCCTAAAGATGCTTAATGCATGGCTGATGAAATTTATTTAGTCTGCAAATAAAGCAAAGCAAGCAAGGAAAGAGATTCTCCCATGCTGCTGCTGCAGGTGGATTTCAGTGTGGACCCCAGAAAAGTGCGTCTTTTTAATGTTATTTTTTGTGGGTCTGAACTTTTAATATAATTTTGTTGTTAAAATACTCAGAGGCTTAATACAGCAAGTGTTGACTTCAGCTTCTTTGTAAAGAATGGAAAAATCACAAGAAGACAGTGGCTTTACTCTTTTAGTTAAACAAAACAACCTATCAAAGAGCCAGTTGTGTACAAAGAAAACCTAGAACTACAAGAGAAATTCAGAAAGCCACATTCAGAGGCACGTGGTTTGTATCATTACAATAACTAATAAGTGCAGAGCAGAGAAGTAGAACCCAAGGAGCCTTTGGTGCTCACTGTCTTCTTGGACACTTTGCCTTGCCCTTGGCCTGCCCTACTCCACTCTACTCCTTGACCTCCACTCTTGTTCTTATCATCAATGACAAGATTAAGTGATAGAAATATTAGTAGCCAATTGGCCACTTAAAAGATAGAAAGGATTCCATTAAAGCTTTTGTCTTGGCAGTCAAGCTGTTCTCCCTGGCCTCACAGCTTCCCTCCAGGAACCAGGGAGACTTTGCATCAAGAGTGGCACCACCAGAAATGATGGACTCCGCAGATTGTCCATGCATGGGGCATGAGCATGTTTGGAGCATTGTGTATGTAGCGACTTCAATGCACGCCACACCCTAAGGCATTTAAAGAGGAAAACAAGTAACACGCTAAAGTGACACCCTTCACTCCCCACGGGCACTGAACAGAGGCAGTCCAATTGCAGCCCTGTGCCACCCACTTTTCACAACCTAAGATGTGTTCTGCAGCTGCCATCTACTTGATTATGGTTTCCTCATCTCTGAAATGGGATTTTTAGTCTAGACGAGCCCTGGAGACCACCCAGCTCAGCCAGCACACTGTGACAACTGCATTATTGCCTTACAGCGTCACCATTAACTTACAAGAAGCAGCCTCACACTGTGAACAATACACACGACGACAATAAACACCGCATTTTATAGATGACAGTGCATATTTAATAAAAGAAACTGAGAAGAGACTGACAAAAATACAAGGAAATTCAGAAACAAATTGCAGGTGCTATTTGCAAGCATAAATACCAAGGCCACACTTCTGTTAAATCCAGAAAAAGGCACTTTCCCCCAATTCACAACAAGGAAGGATAGCTGGGGAAAAAATAGACTCAAGTAAGACCATTTCTGACAAGAAAAACAAGCGATAACATAGAGGTGTGGGAATATTGAAACAACAGAAAGAGCTTTAGGATTTACAGAAAATATTTTTTAGCCTCAATCCCTAGGGATGTCTGGCATAAAACTTGGTGAAAACATGAAAAAAAAAGAGAGCTAACTGAGAAAGCCTAGATCTCTGTCAACAACAGCAGCCATCTTTTATTTATTAATTGCCACTCGGGAGATTATATTAGAGCCCAAACTGTAAGCATTCACATCAACCTTTAGCAATAAATTCCAGGGAACTTGAAAGTGAATAAATCATCGGAGATATGAGGCATGTTATCTAAAAAGAGCCTGCCTACATCTCAGGAAGAAGTTCTGAGCAGGAACAAATGCACAGCCACTGATTCTAATTGAACCGGGGAAAAGAGTCAAGGATTTTATAAGATTGGCAGAGCTGACAATTGATGAGCATGTGCCTGTGTGTGTGCATGCATGTGCTTCCTGACGGGAAACTGCACCTAAGACACATAGGGTCTGGACGCTGGGCACCAATAGACCCTAAGACGTATAGTAGAACTAAAATCAAAAGGTAAGGCTCACTTCTGGACTTTTACTTTGAGAGAGACCAGGGTTCTCCTCTTGGAAAAAAATAATTCTATTCATTCCTAGGTGTAATCAGAAGGAAGTAATGGAAGAGACACTGATCTTAGCTTTTTAAGAACCTCAAACTAGAAAGTCCCCTTTAAGGAGCTGCAGATGCTCTCACCCAGGCTGGATCTTCTGAAGCTGGGGGACTTTGCCACAAATCACCAAACCCCTGTGTATCCTTCGCACTAGGTCAGGGTTACCAGCTTGGGAGGTGTCTGCTGGTGAGTGTCAGCACTAAGACCCACCGAATCTCTTGGAGGGAGTGCCCTATCAGGAGGAGCTTTGTGGAGCAGGAGGGGCCAAAATCCCTCTTCCCCACCCCTAGCCTCACCAATGTGGGTTGAGACTGACAAGGTACAGGAAATTTTATAGCTTTCGGGATGAGCTGGTTCCCACTCTATTTCAGGCCTCACCATTTACACACAGAGATGAAATTCCTTTTCCCAGGCTCCTTCAAAAAGTAGAGGTATCCTTGAAGGAATATATATATATATATATATAGAAAAAATATATATATATATATATATAGCAATTTATCAAAATCCAAACCTCAGCTATTGAAACCCATTGAAGTCACCCCCAAATGTGATGACGCTTCACATTTTCCTTTGTGGTTGAAGCGATGGAGGCCGTGGCCGATTATAAGCAATTGTCTGGGTCAGTGATCTATGGATACCAGGTGTTATTCATCATGGAATGGACCTTGTCCAGATTTGAACACTTGCTGTCCCATTTTTGAGTATTCACAGAAGTAATTTGTAGTTGAGTGTTTGACGATTTCCTGGCCATCTTGGGCTAGCTGCAAATGCCAATCTTTACAGCAAAATTTTCATTTTTCAGACTTCTCTATCAGGTGGCCATGGTCTTTAGGTTTTAATGAACTTTCTGTTCCCTCAAAAACATGAACTTGACACATATGGACATCATGAAGGAAATGAGAGATTTATGAGGAATATTAAAAGAAAGCGTTTAGTTAATAAAAAAATAATTCCTGGGAAGTTATAATAAAATATTCTGAACACATTCACTCGCATTCTTCCAAAAAAAAAAAATACAGAATCAAAACAACCTCAAACTAAAACCAGATAGAGTCATCAAGATGGACGGCTGTTTATGTCTACACAAGGCAGTTACATTACACCATCTAAGGCCCAGGGAATGGCCAGGCGGGGGTAATGTAACAGCCATAGGTTATGGGAAATGGCTGTGAGCTGTTATCTGAGAAAGACATGGCCACTGTACTCAAGACCTCACAGAAGCTATGGATATTTGCACTGGGTGTAAGGATGGATCACGGGCTTTCGCTCTTACTACTGAGCTATTTGTTACTCCTAGGCTCAGGGAAAGGGGAGTCACTAGCCTTCAGCTTTGTACCCACTGATGACCACACTAAGTTCTAGTGGATAGTTCGGGCACAGTGGTCACACAGGTCACAAACCAAGCAAGAGTCAGGAGGTGGCAAAGGAAACTGGTGAGGGTAAGAATTTGGTAGGGACGGGGGAATGTCGAAGAGAGTGTGGGAGAGCAATCAGAGTACATTCTATACATGCATAAAATACTGAAATAACACAACTAACCAATAATATATATGTAGTAAAATAAAAAGGAAACATATTTGAAGGAGCTGTGTAGACATTTTTCTCATAAAGAAGTGCTGCCGCTCAGTGAAGAACTGTCTGTAGAGTTTAGTTCTCTGACCAGCTGCTCGCAGGAAAATAGCAGGTCTCACCTATGGAGCAGGTGAAGGATCTGCAACACAAAGGCATTTGACCTTTCTTTATTATTAAAGTGTGTGGGTGCATGGATTAAAGGACTCATTTGGAGGCCAAATAACCTAATATAAGTGGCAAACATTCCTATCTAGAAAATTAGATCCCTGAATTCCACCTAACCTTTCTTGGCCTTGCCGAAGGTGTATTCTCCACTCAGAGAAACAGTTGGTGCTTAGGATAGAGCCAGAGGAACAGGCAGGTGGGGGGAGTCAAGACACGTGGATGTCCTCCCTGGATTCAGTGCTATGAGGTTCAAGTTTTACTGCTCAGGTAGAGAAGCAACATTCCAAAGCAGATTCTTCAAACTTGGAGAAATTTTTACTCTAGCTTCCTAGGTAGAGACCCCCATGTCAGTCAACACAGTGTGACCGCAAGGATCCCTGACAGGAACTAGTTTCTGACTGAGAATGGCTGCTGGCCTCTGAACGGCTGGTGATTTAGACAACAGAGAACAGAACTGTCCAGAGAGATGTGGTCTGCCGTGAGCACTCACAGGAAACCTGGAGGCAACTCAAGTGTCTGACTGGTGTAGGAGGTCCTTCTGTATTTGTGTTGCTTTCACTGGTTATTAAAACAACTGCCTTGGCCTAGTTGATAGGGCAGAACTCAGGTAGGAGGGGAAGACAGAACAGAATTCTGGGAAGAAGAAC